CTTGGGCTGGTGGGGGGCGGCGGGGGTCCTGGGGGCGCCGCGCGTCCTGGGACCCGAGCGAGATGCTGATGGGGTCTGTGCCGCTGCTTCCGCAGATCCCGCTGCAGGCCCTCGCCTCGCCGCATCATTGATGGGCAACCAACTGGACCGCATCACCCACCTCAACTACAGCGAGTTGCCCACAGGGGACCCGTCGGGGATCGAGAAGGACGAGCTGCGGGTCGGGGTCGCCTACTTCTTCTCGGATGAGGAGGAGGACCTGGACGAACGCGGTCAGCCGGACAAGTTTGGCGTGAAGGCCCCGCCCGGCTGCTCTCCCTGCCCAGAGAGCCCCAGCCGCCGCCACCACCACCTGCTGCACCAGCTGGTCCTTAAGGAAACTCAGTTCTCCGCCTTCCGAGGCCAGGAATGCATCTTTTCCAAAGTGAGCGGCGGCCCTCAGGGCGCCGACCTGAGCGTGTACGCGGTCACCGCCCTGCCGACTCTCTGCGAGCCCGGCGACTTGCTGGAGCTGCTGTGGCTGCAGCCGGCGCCCGAGCCGCCCGCGCCCGCCCCGCACTGGGCCGTCTACGTGGGCGGCGGCCGCATCATCCACCTGCACCAGGGCGAGATCCGCCAGGACAGTCTGTACGAGGCGGGCGCGGCCAACGTGGGCCGGGTGGTGAATAGCTGGTACCGCTACCGCCCGCTGCTGGCCGAGCTGGTGGTGCAGAACGCCTGCGGCCACCTGGGCCTCAAGAGCGAGGAGATCTGCTGGACGAACTCGGAGAGCTTCGCCGCCTGGTGCCGCTTTGGCAAGCGGGAGTTCAAGGCGGGAGGGGAGGTGCCGGCGGGCACGCAGCCCCCGCAACAGCAGTACTATCTCAAGGTGCACCTGGGCGAGAACAAGGTGCACACGGCCAGGTTCCACAGCCTGGAAGACCTCATCCGCGAGAAGCGCCGCATCGACGCCAGCGGCCGCCTGCGAGTGCTCCAGGAGCTCGCCGACCTGGACCTCGTGGACGACAAGGAGTAGCCGCCGCCCCGGGGCCGCTGCCCCGCCGTCGCCCCGCGCGCGCGCCCTCCCCCGCACCCGGCCTTCCCCGCGTGGCAAAGGCAGTTCTGGGGCCCGCAAACCCCCCTTTTGTCTTCC